TGCCGATGGAGAAGGCGGGGTGCGCCGGTCCGTGCTGGCCGGGGTACGGGAACATGGCACTGGGAGCAGTGGCCGCAGACTGTGGCTGGCTGGACTGAGAGAGGAGGTAGCGATCTGCAGCAGAGCCATCGAAACTGTGACGAAGCTCAGAGACCCCGTCCAAGACAGGAGAGAGTTTACTTCTCTGGACGTCCCCTGGTGAGTCCTTGGAGTCAGGAAAATTGTCTGTATCTGACTGATTCGTCATCCCCCTGGTAATTTTTTTCAAAGGTGAACTTCTCTCCAGGTTGTCAGTGGTCGAGATAATGGGATGATCGTGCAAGACAAGCTCGGATCCGCCTGAATGTGGGTAGCTGCTGCTCACATTGAGAAATTTCTTGGAGAGCATGATAGAAGGAGAAAGGCAGTGCTCCAGCTGCATAGCTCTAGAACCTGAACACTCGCCCTCCCGTCCCTGGTTTTTAAAGTCCTATTTATCATAAACTAGAAATCCACAGACCCCCTCACTAGACAGAAAGCACTTCAACCAGCAAATGCTTCTCAAAGGTTTGATTTACTTTTTTTTTTCCCTGGGAGAAGAGATTGGCCAATTGACACTATGCAGCAATCAGAAAAGGCTCACTTTTGATCTTGCTGCTTGTGCAGCCGATGAAACGGCTCTTGCCATTGGTTAACTGCTGACAGTAATTTAATTAGATAGACATTAATTAGGATAATCACCTGGCTCCTGGTAGCGACGATCATGGCAAATTGAAGGGGATGATTTTATTGTTGGCTTGGGGGGTGGGGAATGTGTGTTGGTTTACGTGAGCACTGTTGTGTCACCTTTAAGCTTTGTGACCACTGCTTTAGGAAGATTCAAAGATGTGCAATTTACTAAACATTTCCTACCTTCCCCCCCTTTCCCCCTTTAGAGCGGAGGGGCGGAGGAGGGAATTCGACGATGCTAGGAGACTTTTCGGATCTGAATGAGCCAAATATTCAGTTGAATGTAACGATTTCAAGTGCAAAGTATACAAAGCGCGAGCCGGTGGCCTCTTCTCGCCCTGTAAAAGTTCCAGAGTCTGTCTTTTCCAGCTAATACAAAAGCACACGACACCTGAGCTAGTGCTTTGTGAGCAGGTCCTACCTGTCCTCGGCGCCCCCACCCCCACCTTTTAAACTGCAAACATAAATAAATAAATCCCTGCTGCTGAGAGCCATAGCGATAAGCAGGAGGGGGGAGAAGAGGGGGCGAAAAGCAGCAACTCACCCACCAATCCACCCACCTCAGGAAGGTTCGGTTTCTTGGTTGAGCACAGAAACAGTGACAATCTATGATCTCCTTTTTAAGTTTTGAAATAATCATAAGCTGTCGGGCTGAAACGCCTTAATGTATTTGCAGTGATGTTTACCGGGTCTTTACTAAATATTTTATCAGCGAACTTGGTTGCAGATTATCTGAAGAGCATCTATCTGGGGGCCGGCGCCATGCATCCTTTTCGTCCCTCTGCATTTCCTTCTCTCTGAGGTACTGGCTTGGCGACAGGTTCAGAAGCCTCGCCAGAAAAATAGAGGGCCGAGTCCCCGTGCAAATGGGCTCGTCAGAAGCGCTGATCTGGGGAGACAGAGTGGAAGTGGTGTCAACACAGTAATCGCTACTGAAGACGTGTGTGTGTGTGTGTGTGTGTGTGTGTGTGTGTGTGTGTGTGTGTTTAATGTTTATATAATCTGGAGGGGAGAAAAAGCATCCATGCCAGTAATTTTAAAAGGAAAAAGAATCTAAGGAGGAATAGAAAAAAAGAACCAATTTAAAAGGATGTTGGCACAAATAAATAGCACGAGGCCCAAAGAGACCCTGAGGTGTAGGGAGGAGGTCTTCCAGGACTGGCTCTACAGAGGAGCCCAGCCCTCGGCCTGAACCAGAGGGCCACGAGCGACAGAGGTTTTTTATCCACCCAAATCTGCCTCTCGCAGCCGGCGCTCGCTGACCTGCCCTCCCGCGGCTTTCCTCCCGGACGCCTAGCGGCGCGGGAATGAGCTGGAGGAGCCAGACCTCCGCTCGGCCCCGAGAGCTACCGGCCCGAGGGCGGGCTCCGCCCGGGGGACTGGGGGAACGCAGGGTGAGCTGCGTCTGGTGCAGACCTCAGGGGCACACCCTCTTCCCGTGATGGGGGCGCGGCCTGGGCACTTCAGCCGCGGGAGCCTCTGGCTTCGAGCGAGCGCGTCTGTCCTCCCCAGGCCGGGGCAGCTCCCGGAGGAAGAGCAGCTCTGAGAGACATTGGTGGGTCCTGAACATGGGCGGAGACGGGTTAACCAAACTCGCCGCTTCGCCACTGTGTTGCATTTTCAGAGCGGCGCCTCAGTGGGCCGAGCGGTCAGCGCTGAGCCGAGACTGCGCCCCTCGAGGCGGGCTGGGCGCCTCGGCTGAAGAGGGCACCAGCTGAGGCCTCCATCAGGGCGCCGCGGGCAAGGCCCTGTGCGGGCGTCCTGGGCAGGGCAGGTTGATGACCAGATGTCCTAGACTAAAGCCGAGACAATTTTCTGGGATAAAAAAGAAAACGAGACCCATTTTTCCTTTTGAAAGCAAACCTCAGCTCCTGGCCAGAAGCTTCATAAACAAGCAGTCTTAGCTGTTGACTCGGGGTGCGGGGTAGGGGAGTAGGGAACACCATTTGACACTTGTTTTCCTTCCTTGACCTTCTACTGCCATTTGCCTTCATGAGAGGCTTTTGACCTCTTGATTACTCTTGGCTACTTTTGTTTCCTTCTTTCTTCCATCTTCAACTTTTCTGTCCCTGAGTGCTTCTCCTTCCCTGGCTTCGAAAGACAGTACTTCCCTCCATTCTCAGTGGGACGGAGCCTTAAGTGTGTAAAGAGGTGAGACACCATCCGGGCTCTTTTTGAGGCTTTGCCATTCTCAATACCCTAAACTGCTTTAAAAAAAAAAAAAAAAAAAAAAAAGTAGGAGGAGGAGAAGAATGCTAAAATGAAATGTTAAGGTGTTAAAGGATAGAAAAGGCAGAGTGCACCTTCAGTTTTTAAGGAATTGAATTAATATGCTTCTGACCCACTTTAGATTATCAATACTAAATACAGTGATTGCTCACATGTAGGCTATGTCTTGAATTTATATATGCTAAAGAAAATGAAGGCTTTCCTTAGAATCACCACACATGCCTGTGAATCATACTTCCAAAAGACCAAGGCTTCTCAAACCTTAAAGTGTGTATGAACCACACCACGTTTCTTGATTGTGATTCAGTAGGCCTGGGGTGGGGCTTGCTTTCTGTATACATAATGAGTTTCCATAAGACCTAAATGCCATTGGTCCAGGCAGATCACACTTGGAATAGTGAGGCCTGACCTTTCAGTGCCCCCATACTACTCTGAGAGAAAAACAGGGACATTTCTGCACTAGAGACAAATAGTTTTGTGTCCAGAGCTGCTTTACCTCTGCATGGTGGAGGGGTAAATATGCTCACATAAGCATGCCTGCATGCGTGCATGTGTGTGCTCACACACATACAGTCTTAAACAGCTTACTGAGTTTGTGATTAAACACATCTTTTCAATGCCTAACTGGGCCTGGGACATCAGGCTGCTGCGAAAATAGCTGTAAAAAAAGACAAAGGTGTTCAAGACAAAGGTGTTCATTGAGCCTCCCTCAGGGCATCCTGATTTCGATTAGCCTCGGGATATTTTCAGAGGACTAAATGGGGGAGAAAAAAAAATCTTTTAATCCAAATATTGAGATTAGCTCTTGAAATACTAAGGCCTTCTTCTGAGGACACACTGTACCCCCCAAAAAATAAAATTGACTAGCATTAACATCTGTGAAATAAGTTATAGAACCTTATTTGTAAAGAGAAAAATCATATCCAAAAAGTCTGCACATGTTTGAATGAAGCAAAAGAAAACTTCACTAACTTCCACTTATATTTTAATTTTTAAATGTAATCCCAACGACTTAAATTAATGCATATTACATGTGCTACATAGGATATACTGTCACTATATCTGAAACAAGAAACTGCAGCACAAGCAAGAAATGCTCAGAATACCTCTTGGTCCACCAAAAAAGATACTGTGAAACATACTGGGAATTTAAGCCATTTCTACTTTCAGTTTCTGGTGACTTCAGTAGGCAACCAATAAGAGCCTAGACTTGTTCCAGTAGGATAGTAATTTCATCTATCACAGCACTCATAACACTTCTAGTAGATTAAGTTAAATTCCAAGTCCCCGCGTAAAACCTTTTAATGAAGCCTTAGTAATATTCTCACCATATTTTCACAAGTAAGGGTGCAGACTAGAATTAGATCTTTGTCTACGTATCTTTTCCCATAGTCCTTGGTATAACCAGTATGGTGCTGAGCCATAATAAGAGGGACAGTTACATCACATTAGAAGTAAGCTGAGAGATAAAGTCATCTATAAAAACTGCTATTAGCCTTTTTTTTTTAATTAGAAAACTGGGTAGTCCTAATTTAGAAAACATGAGACCAAACAATAACAAAATTATTGCTTATAAACTCATATTAAACTCACATTATGCCTACTTTTCTCATTTTGCTTTTTAGAGGTTATATACTTTCTGTGGTTATTTTAGGTGAAAGTTCAGTAGAGTTTGCAGCAGCCAATTCTGAGTTTCAAAACTGCTGGTAGAATGTACTCTTTTAAAAGATGATAAAGTTTAAATTAAAATTGCTCCCCTTTTTCTTTGTAAATGTACTCCTCCAAAATCCTAAAAGTATACTATGTCTATAAGATATTGAGTATACAATATTAGCTCATGACAAATGCTAATAAAATGTCAACAATTTTTTCTGAGTTACTCACTAATTAGCCACTCATTAATGTAAATCATTATACATTTGTGAAATTTTATCACACTGATGTTTTATGTGTTCTAAGATCTTAAAATGAAAAGGGAAATATATCTTTGTGTGAGATTTCTAGACCACTATCACATGTTATTCCAACAATCCCACCCATTGTCAAAAAGACCTCAGGAGGCATAGATTGTAAATGTATTTTATTTTGTAAGCAACAATCAAAATATATTTGTGCTACTGATTTTTTCAAATATTAAATGAGATCTTAACAAAATTTGTCCACTTTGATGTATTCATGTATAACTTTAGAATCTACAAAGACCCTGACTAAAGAAACAGAAGTAATTGCACAACCGAGACTGAAGGTGTTACAGTGCTGCAAATGATGCCAGATGTCTTATATTTAACCAAGTACACCTTCAGAGGTCCCTTGATTTTGAGCATTAGGAACAACAGAAGAATATACACTGAAAGCATCACTAATAGCGTTTTTTGTTGCTTTATTTAAATACAACAGTATCCAACATAGCTGCTAAACACTGGACAATATTTGAAGTCATAAGTACATCCACATGTTCCTCCAAATGACGTTTGGGGTCCTAAAAGAACAAAAGTAAAGAAAGAAAGAGAAAAAAGAACCATATTATTGGTAGATAAATTACTTAAAATTGTTTCAGTAGCTGATGAAACTGGTAAAGAAAGCCAGACCTAACTTACATATTTTACAAATTTAACTCTACTAGTATATCATTACATTCTTAGAAAAGAAGCTGAGTAGCTAATAAAATAATAGATTACACAGTGAAAGCTTGATTTACACATACAATGACTGTATCAGAGATTTTTATAAGGAATTCTACACAGCTCACAATCATCTGATTTTTTTTGAAGTTCATTTAAATATCTATACCTATCTGAATATATGTGTGTATTCTCTACCATCCATATAGTTTGGATGTCTGAGGGAATGCTTAATTCAAAGTGGACATACCAATAGGTAAGAGTTCAGTGTAAATTCTCAGCACTTCTTCTAGGTTTTATAATAGCAAAACTCATAATTCTGTACAATTTTAATATTTCAAGAGTAGTGCTTTATATGATTCAGAAAATATTCTTGGATCAAAAGTTACTGTTTGTAGCTGAAGAATTTAAATACAATTTGGATCAATTCTAAAATGTTAAGAATGTTTCATGCAGCTATTTTGAAAAAAAAATGTATCAGAAAATTATATAGGTGCAATCCTTTAACTTAAACCTGATCAAATCTATTTTTGAAATAGACTGAGTTAAAAAGGAGGCTTAAAATTGTATTGAAATAAAGGAATTTAAAAATTTAAATTAAAATGTTTAGTATGTATTTATGTTTAAAGTGGAATTAAGTATTTGGGCAAAATTTGAAAGCTTTGAAATAAAAGATATATATTATACACAATAGAAAAATTACAATTTAAAGGATTATATTCTTATGGCTATTGTTAAAACACTCAAGACTCCTAACTTTAAACAATGTTCCATTATTGGAATTAATTCTTGGCAGTGCTTTTCTAACCCTATTTTAATACACTATTTTTTAAAAACAACCCAGAGATACAGCATGTTACAAATAATTTTAAGTGACCAGACTACAATATATTTTTTATTTCAGAAATAAGTCTTAGGGCATTTTAGGTGAAAAAGACTGAGAAAGACTGGCAGGAGAAAAAATATATTGGTTTAATTCCATTACAGACAGTTTTGTTTTTGCCATGCAGTAGGCCAAACCAGTGAGGTAATAACTATATTTTTAAAAATGACTCTGATGATTATTAAACTTTGCCAATTACATACTTTTCAGTTTCATTTTTAATTTAGACCTTTCATTTACTGCTTTAAATCTATATCAAGAAACTATGGCCTCAGAAAGGCATTTATTCAAAAAACAGTTACTGAATTCTATAAAGTATAAAGGCTCCACGTTGGTGATCTAATATTATGATTAAAATAAACAGTGGAAAAGATAACAAGGGTGATATCACATAAGACGAGAAAATAAAATGAATTATATTTCATTTTGCTTTTTGGGGGTGTTTTTAAATTATAATATTCAGAATGTAGTGAAATTTGATTTTCTCATTTATGACATATGATAAAGTCAGACCTTTGCCCCTATTGCTCTGTTGGAGTAATTCATTTTATAGTGAATTGGTAACATGCTTCCCTCAGTTATCTACATTACTTCTTGTGGCAGCTGGGTGATTCTTAGAGATTTCCCATCCAAGAATGGTCCTGGCCCAAACCTACATAGCTTGTGAGATGTGATGGGATCAGAGCATATGGTAGGATGGCTGAAAGCAAAGACAGCTTAGTGTCTTGCATCTGAAATATCAAGATTCTGCCAACATCAGCAATATGATAACCATGTTCCATGAAATGGGGAAAAAATGTAATCAACGTTCTTTAAAAAACAGTCTAATTAATCTGTAGATTCCTTTAATTGGTTGGTGTCTTCCCCTACCCTCAAATAATAGAGGCTAAAATATATATTTCATTTTAGAAAAGTGAAAGAGCAAATACTTAAAGCCCTTTCTCTTCACTCAGTATAACCCAATAAAGGCTCTAACCTTTCTCAGGAACATTACCTACATATTGATAAAGTATAAAGTACATGGTTAACAAAACTTGTTACATATAAAATAAATCTACCCTTCTATTATATATCTGTAGGTAAAAATAATACTTGCAAAATTAATTCAGGACACAAGTGTCCTCCTTTGTTTCTAATAAACTATTTCCACCAAAGATAGTTATCTCATAGGTATTTGTGATTTACTTCTCCATAGATGGCAAAGAGAACCTGACATCAAATAAATTAGTGACCTTTACGATTAGTATCACATTTATGTGACAGAAGAAAAAGGTAGAATGGACAGGAAAAAAAACTATATAGGCCCCAAAATGGTTTTAACTCTATAAGAACACGTTATTATGCAACTGCACAACTTATTAACAGTACACCTCACCTGCTTGCCAACATTCTTTATTGCCAGCTGTTCAGGTGTCATCTTATCTTCTTCTTCTACAGCCTGTGAATGAAACACAAAGGACAGAGTTTTAAATTATAAATTCTCTATTCCCACTGCAGAAAAATCACCAAAGACAATAATGATCAGAATGTTCATTCATAGAACTTTTATTCAAAAAATTTACTGAACAAATAAAATTATGCTAAACTTCAGAATAACCTTCAGGGCAATAAAATAATCAGTATCATCATTTTAAAATAGACAAGAAATACACAGAAGGCACTGAAATATCAAACAGGATAACTAAATGGTAGTGTTGACCATTTGCAAACAGTTACTGAATCCTTCAGGAGATGGCAGACAGCACCTGAGGTGGCACCTATGGCACTGTGGTACTAATTCTGTTCGGTTGCCCTCTCCTTTTCCTGTTTGCACAGTTCTTTCCCAAATTCCTATTTCTTTGTCTCATTTTTTCTTATCAATCCAGCCTGCCCATAGCTTCAGTATCCATTTAACTATCAAGGGCACTTAGGATCAAAGAAGCTACTGACTTTTGATTCATTAAACAAATCACATGGTTTTCTCTGTTAGTACCTTCACATCTTCAAATCTGTAAAACTAATACATGTATTCAGAAAAAAAAATCTGAAACTACTACACTGAGTGACCTTTAGTAACCATGAAGAAATTGTCAACTGAAGTTTTCAACAACAAAATTACCTGAATTAAAAACCAAATATAATCAAAATTAAATTAACCCAAACAATACATGAAAACCACTTTCCACTACTTTCAGAACTAGCTACAAACTCTTCTATGTATGATCATAACTTTCTGGCAGAGTAATTCTGAAATAATTATAACACTTAGATTAGCTAACTCTACCGCCCTCCTCTCCCAATAATGGCACCAATATAAAACCTCCTTATAGAGAATTTTGCACATAAGAAATCTTAACAGTTTGGGTATATTATGGCCTGAAGATAGGACTCTGTATCAGGTGAATTTTAGTCTATGATTTATTCATAGCATCTGATAAAAGAAAAAAACAAGAAAATTTAAGGATCACTAACCTTAAGAAATGCTACCACAGCATTTACCACAAAGAGAGTTATAAAAGGGGGTGAGATGGTGGTGGCAGAAAGCAGGGAACCACAATCCCAATGAGGGTTAGATCTGGATACTCTAAACTTAATAATCTCACAGCTGCCAAATTTCTTCATGTGCGAACAATGAACATGTAGGAAATGTAATCATCAGACATTCCTCATAAACTGGGAAGTTTGGCTGCATTTCACACCTTCTTAATAGTTTTGTAAACAGAGAACTTGAAAATGAGCAAAGATGGCAAGTGTCTAATTTTATAAATGGACAAACTATCTAGAGAATTTTCCCCAGTAGAACCTGCCTGAAGAGAAAAGATCGTAAGTATTGTATCTACTGATTATCAGAGGATACTTATTTACAACACATCATTAGGAAATGCATTTATGACTCATAAACCCAAAAGAAAAAGTAAAGTTAATAACATGCCAAATCTAGAAATCCCTAGACAGAGAATACGCTCATTTTCAGAGTCACATGTCATTCTATTAGTTTCAGTAATAAAAGTATTTCCTAACTGGGAAATTGCTTCCCCAACTATTCAATGTTTCACATAAATGGAAACACTGATAAAACATATTCAGAGTATGGTTTTCTAAATTACTTTCACAAATTCTGACACTATACTTTATTGACTTAAAAGCTTGTAGATGAATGGAACAATTCACATAAGTTTGGACTCCATACCCATTCAGTGTTAGTTGTTCTATGTACATGCCAACAACAGTACTTACTACACTGTTGGAAGGAGGCAAAAATTTTGGAATTCAGCTCAAAATACTAATCCATGTACAAAATAGTTATTAGGGAGTATTGTGGAGTATTGCAAACAACAAAGGTGGTAGATATACATGAACAATGAAGGTCAAAAAGTACTTAAAGTACTGATCTTACTTGAAAAGGTTAAATAGGTATAAAAAGCACTAATTCAAATTTTAAAAACCTTTTACATCATTTGCCCACTTTACCAATTAGTTTTTCCATTCCCAATAATTAAAAGAGAGAGTTCACAAACTCTTTGAGAAGTACAGATGGTAAAAAGTACTCCCAGCCATAGATGCCATCTGGGAAATGAGGAGCAGCTGTAGATTTAGGCATATACTAAGGTTGCAAACCCCCATGACAAAAGAGTAAGCATATCTCTTCCATTCTAAGATATTCCAAATCAAATGCCTAAATATTTTCTCTATCTACCCAAGTTACCTGTATCTCATCTACCATCTGGGCAAGACCAGTTTGTCTTCATTCACAGTTTTAATCTGGCTAGTCACCAGGAAAAATGTAAGAAATGGTTGCAGCAGATACAAATGAAATTCAGGCACAGGCAGTGTCCTCACTAGGGAACTTCTGTGTTTATGGCAACTTCTGTGATTTGGCATCAAATTTTGCTTTTGCATTCGTGCTCTTCGGTTTACTCAACCAACAAAAAAGCACTGAAAATGTTTGTGGCTATTCACACTAGAAACGTTTTTAACAGTTTATCAACAAAGACCCCCAGATGGCTATCCCATCATGCACGGTCTGCACAGTTCTAAGAAATCCTTGGAATTTGGTCTGTTATATGATCATAATCCCCTCCAAAATACCCTCTATCTCACCGAGGCTTTTACTAAACCCATTAACCTCATTCTTTTTTCTCCTAATGGTCAAGTTTCTTATATGGAAAATATGTATCTCAAATTTCATCATTTATTTACCTTTTACAAACATTGATGGGATCTTTGGCACTTCACTAACACTCTTAAGGATCTTCAGGAGGCCAATTCCAATGGACTTTTGTTGTTGTTTTGTTTGTTGTTGTTGTTATTGTTGTTGTTGCTGTGTTGTTGACTTTCTGAACACACTTAGAGCTACTCCAACATCTGTTTTCTCTTCTATTCCCTTACCCTTTGCTATTGCCACCGTCTCTTATTCCACATCAAGCTTCTTTCACTATTCCTCGGGTTTCTTTTCCCCACATTAACATGTTAACTTTGTTCACACTAACAAGCCATGTGCTTTTTAATATCACCATTATGGAAATTTTTACATAAAACAGCACAAACTGCTAAAATGGCATATACTAATTTTTCACTATTAAGCAATCAATTAATAGCTGCTACTGGATTTCAAGACAATGTATTTTACTTCTTTCATGATTTTTAAGATATTGACTATATAAACAACATTACAGGTTATGGGGGTTGAGAATAAGTTTAAAGAAATAGCTTTGATAAAACATACTTGAGAAAGCAAAATTAACAAACATGAAGGAATTAAAAATGTTGAGAAGGTATAAAAAGATTACATATATGAAGACATTAAACCTAGTTTTTCTACTACCATCACTAATCAAATATCAAAACTAGACATGTTTTTACAAACATTAATTTGCTGAATCTTTAAAACATCTCAATAAAGAAGTTAATCTAAACTTCATATGTTAATTCTAGCAAAATCTCTAACATAAAAGGAATTTTTCAAACTGTTCAAGCTCTCATCGAGCTCACATTTGGGATTTATTGGCCCATAAGTCTCACATCATAATACAGTGTAAACCATACAAAAAAGGAGTGTATACAAAGCACGATGGGGACATAAGGGTTAACTGAATGTAGGTAACTTTTTCTTGTGGATCACCTGGGGAAAGAGAGAAGAGGGTGCAAAAAAATTTAAAAAATAAAAAAATAGAATGCATTGGGAAGGAACACATCATGTGATACTCAATAGTAACAGGGAAAATAAAAAACCATGGGAGAATGGCTGAATATGGAAGAGAGTTCAAAGTTTCTAGCCTACATGATACCTAGAAATGAGTGTCAGTTATAACCAAGTTGGTAGAGGGAACTGACATGAAAAAGTAAAAAGCAGGGTAGATAATACTGTTTACTATTGAACAGCAGCATTTGAAGTAATGAACATGTAAGTGGAAAGGTCTCAAACAGTAGAGATGAGAATACATTTTAAATGAGAGGAAAGGAAGAGATTTCAAAGTTGTTGGCATTGCTAAACCTTGAAAACAGACTTTTAAAAACAAGGAATAAAGATCAGAAAGGCAAGGGCTGAATCTGAAATGCTCATAGCAAAGGTACAGCAAAGGCAGCAATGCTAGCTAGCAAAGGCAGCAGAGCGTAGCTGCCAAAAAGTCAGGAGAACCACGAGAATGTATGGCCATGGAAATAAAGGTATGATGTGAAGGCACGAGGACAAGAAAAATAACTGAAAGAGATGCAAGTGTCAGTACACTAAGAAAATAAATCAATCATCTCTTTTAATAAGCTGGAAACAGCAAATTGTCATCAGCACAGTACTCTTGTCATGAAAAGGTTATGCCTCCAAGAACACTGGAGGCAGGCTGAAAGAAGTGATCAACGACGTAGAAGTTATATTTTATCCAGTTAGCCGTAAGGAAGGGAGAGGAACAAAGTGTGCCATGACAGAGAACAGTTGAAGATTAGGAAGAAAGATGCCCGTTAGAGGGCATTGCATTTCTTTAAATTTTAGAAGCTTATATTATGTTAATATTAGTAACCAACAGTGCTTATGATTGGCCATTTAATAAAGTTACATTTTTGGTATAAAACTATAAATATAGCATAATTTCATTCATTCAACAAATTCTTATTGAGTATCTACCATTTAACTGGCAGTGTACTAGAATTAAATGAGATGATATCTGAATTCACAGAGCTTATAGACTAGGTGTAAAACCAGGAAATTAAAAAGTAATAATTAGACTGGGCATAGTGGCTCACAATTGTAATAATCTCAGCTACCCAGGAGGCTGAGCAGGGGAGCATTGCTTGAGGCCAGGGAGGTTGAGACCATCTTGGGAAACACAGCAAGATTTTTTATCTTAAATTAAAAAAAAATGGTCAGGTATAGTGGTGAGCGCTTGTAGTCCCAGCTACTCAAGAGGACTGCTTGAACTCAGGAGTTCAAGTCTGCAGTGAGCTATGATGGCGTCACGCAGCCCA